AAAAAACCTACAGCATTTATTTCTAGTCTATTTTCATGCAGACACTAGTCTAAGTAAACACCATTATACTAAATAAGCATTTTATTTGGATAACACTACATAGCTCTCTAGGAAATACGTGCAAGCTGTCACAGCAAAAATGTCAAAACAAGACAACTTCTACTTTCTATGCCATAATTACATTGAAGTAACACTAAGATTCAGACTAGGAAAGAAATAAATTGACATGTATTCAAAATCTAACTGGGCACAAAGGGACACTGCTGTCAAACATTTGTTACTTATTTCCAGATGCAAAATTCCAGACAGGACTAAGTGAATCAATAAGAATTTCTTTTGGCTAAAAGACTCAATGTCGTAATTAAATTCTTACAAGGTGTCACTTCTGTTACTCTACTCACTCCTTAAACTGAAAATAAAAAACTAGCATAACTGACTTGAGCGAGCACTCAACACATTTTTCCGTAAGCTGAAAACTGATATACTACCAAGGCCAACACATTAAGCTATTATAAAAAGTCTATTTTTGGCCTTCTTTATACAAGTTGAAATCCGAAGTAACTCCTTAGGTCAGCAGGATTTTACAACTTTTTACTTTCATTGAGATTAGATTTCACTCTTGGGACACATTACAACGACACTAATACTAACATCATATTATTAGAACCTCAAGCAAACGCGGGGCTTTTTTTATGTTTCAGAGTCCCAGTGTTTCAACAGTCCTGTTATCTCTGCTGCCTTTTTTCACCCATTAGATAGAATACTTCTGAAAAATGCATTATCCTTGATATGTGCCTATATTATGGCTTTCACCAACTAAAAAAGGCTCATTTTAAAAAAAAAATGCTAGAAAATTGACACCGAAAACAGCTTTTTCAGAAATTTGAAAAAGAGTATGGATAAGGATTACATGCTTAAGACCGCAGAAAATTACATATTATTTTTACAATTATATTCAGGTTAAAGATAACACCAGAATAATGTTTGTTTTGTCTTGCTATTTCTACTTTAAAAGCTGCGCTTATGAGGATACTCTCAGATCATGTGCAGTCATGCTCCCTTCAGCGTTTACTCACAGATCTCTTCTGTATTTGACAGTTATCATACTAGCATGCACAACGGTTTGTCAACAGTCAAATAGCGCATTTGAAGGTTTTTGTCTTTCAAATGCAAATAAAGAAAGATTTAAACTCTGGCCACCAGAAATAAAAAGCCAGTTTTTTAAATCAGTTACACCTTCAAAATAGATAATAGTTTTCTTTGCCAGAAAAACTTTCACAAGCCCTTAATTATGAAAGTGAAAATGACCCATAATTCAGGATGTTTTATTTGCTTTACAAGAAACTCCATGATATATTGTTTATGACAACTCTATTTCTATTATGGGAAAAAAATGGAGAAAATTTAAAGTAGAACTTACCCATTTTTACTAAATACCCGTATCCATGCTTGAATGTTTGGTCCCAGCACACACAAGCATTGTAAAGTAGTAAAAGTAGATAGCAGAACTGCAAACAAAAATGTCTCAGTCACTGACCTACAAAGAAGGAACACAATAAAATTAACTGAGGCACAATTGGTGATTTTCTAAGAGTTCCAAGAACTAGGAAAAAAACTCAAAATCATCTAGAAAGCATGCATTCTTTCTTAAATTCATGTAAAGAAAAAAAAAGTTTTTCTTCTTACTCTGTAGAAGAGAAAAGAAAGATGGAAAGAATTCTAACATCCATTCGTTACCTCAACAAAATCTGAAATGTAGCAGCTTATTTTAAATGTCCGATACCTGTAACATTTTAACAAATACAGCGATATCTTACACAGAAGGTTACTACTTTCTAACTGAAGTACACTTGGATATTTACTTTATCATTCCATTTATCTTTCTAGTTTGACTTAGTAGAAGCAACCATGAAACCAAGCCACATGATGTCACCGCTATTCTGTAATTTAGCGCCTCTCAAAAATCAGTTAGGAGAGATGTGAAGCAGCCTTTTGGGTTTTTTTTTGTTTTTTGTTTTTTTTTTCCAAACCACCCTTAACAATTAAAATACTAATATGAAAAGGATGAAAGCTATAGGAGATGCACGTTTCAGAAACTTAATGGAAAAATGACTAAATGAAACATGGAAAATGTTTGCAACCATATATATGACATACAAGTATAAAATATGTCTATATTTGTACATCTCCAAATATATAGAAATTTTAAGGGCTAGCTTCTACGAAAAATAGCCACTCTTCGCCCAGCCAGGAGGTTATCCTTTAACTCCCAATGTACCAGGAAATACTCAAGTACTTATACCAATATCTGCAAGAAGAACTGCCACTTAAAGAGTTTAGAGGAAAAAAGGTTCTTCCGACTTACTCTATGAGAGGTGCTCCATAAAGAACAATAATCGCATGAAATAGTATGCAAGACATGAAAAAGTACATACAGCATTTTAGAAATCTGGATATCTAAAAAAGAGCAATAACATATCAGAATAATGTTTCAAAAGAAAAGAGAACAATGAGCAATGTATATAGTCAATATCTTATCAGTAGCATCTCACTGTACCCACTTCCTTAGATATTTAATTTCAACTATAGCACAGTATGATTATACGCTCCTGTATTTCCAGACCGCTTTCCCTATGTTTAATACTTCAAATCATTAATTAAAAAACATAACATGAACACACTCCAATCTAAAAATCTTTTCATATATCATACTATTATACAAACATACAAAAAATAACTGGAAATAACAAGATAAATGGAAAAAGTTCTAGGGCATGTTTTTATGTTTACGTGTTACATTTCAGCATTATACCCATTTGTTAAAAAGCATCTTTCGCAGAACGTGCAAAAATATTTAGGAAGATGCAATATACATACATGATATTCAGAATGAAATATAGTATTTAAAACTACATGACATAAAACGTATTGCATTTTGAAACTGCCATCTTAAAATCTAAATCCATTTGAGAAACATCCATGACCTTCTAAACCTACAAAACGCATATAGTTTTCTATGAATCAAAGCAACAGTTTCTGGGTACCCACTATTATATCAAAATAGAGCCACTTGATAAAGTGTCACAGTTTCACCTGAACACTTTTTTTTTTTTTTTGGGGGGGGGGGCATGCTTGGGGGGGGGAGGGAAGGGAGAGATATTCCTGTGCTAGTTGGGATGAAACCTCACCTAAAACTTGAAGCCTGCTTTGTTTTTTAAATTATATATGGTTAAAATGCTTGTTTTCCATGATTTAGTGGATTTCATGCCCTGCTCTGTCAGTAAAAGTAGATAGAAGTTTCATAGGAAAAGTTACTGCTTTCAAGGATGTTTAGCTTGCACAACTATTTAAGAACGACCGTTTAAGAGCATTAAATTTTGTCTGACTCAGCAAGTTGGGAGGACAAGACTATCCAGCTGACTTGTGAATGCCTTTCTATTCCACCACTCCCAGGGAAGTTGGGTGCCGCTCCAAATTTGCTCTGTTCAGAGGTATTTTCTTGGAATTCATATCTTTAATGCTTCTGTTACAAATGTTAACTATAAAAATTTATCACAGATTTAAATTCTTCTGTGTGCAGATGTATTCGTTCAAGGAAAGGTAGTCACTTCAGTGCTTTTCCACCTCATCTTCTAAAATCTACCAACTTAGTTTAAAATTTAATGAGCTCTTTGTTTTCTTTTTCATCAGTCAAAAGTTTAAGAAAAGTTTTTCTTCCTTTAGAATTATTAGTAACTTCTAACTACTCAGAAGAAAAGTGTCTTTTCACAACACTGGGATTCAGGCCCAGATTATGAAATGAGTTCTGTACCCATTCAGGGATTCGCCCTGATTTTTGCCAGCAGGTAAGCTCTTGGAGGATCAAGGACGGAGACTACAAGCCACAGTATATTGACACGAAAAGGCAAGGAATCACTCACCTGAACAGACTATTTACAGGTAGAGAAAATTTAACACTGTGAAAATATCAGAAAACTTACTTCTCAGCTCATTCATGGAAAACAAGATTTCACCACCTAAAATTGTAACTTGCTTTCTCTTTCACGCTTGACTATTTCAGTAAAAGAATTCAACCTCCCATCAGTACTGCCTGGTAGCAATTTAAGAATAAAAATCTTACCTTGTGAGCAAATGAACTTCTCTTAGGAGACAGATTTGGTTTAAGGATTAAATATAAGATTATATTAAGGGCACTAATGGAAACAGAACAAACGCACAGCCAGGTGAGGTGCGTTCCCAAAACCGAGAAGTTGTCCAGGAAGAAGGCTGGGACGGTTGTTGTTAGAATAACTGAAAAAACACAGAGCAGGTTGGCAGCTAGGAGCCTCTTTATTTCTGCTTCTTTCATTGTGTTCTCTGTTAACCAGTCACCTGCAAGAAAGCAAGCTGTGCTTAGTTACTGAAAGACAGCCAGAAGCACTAGCCAGCAGTATTTTTCCCTAGCTGAAACACACAAGGCAAAACTCTGAACTTAGTTTGGGGCCGAAGAGGATTACTTTGTGGCAGAAGTTTCATTCGTTCATTTAAAAAAAAAAAGGGGG